TCAAACTCCTGGCTCAAGCAATCCTCCCGCCTCAGCCTCTCCAGTAGCTAGAACCACAGGTACACACCAGCATGCTTGTGTGTACTTCCATGATTATCCTATGTCCACACATACTAACTCCCACACAGTGGGAACGGGGTTTCACAGAGTCACAAACCCTGAGGAAACAGGAAACAAGGATCATTACGGGTCATCATGAAGGAAGCCTGCAATCATGATACCTCAGACTTCAGGGCTCCATAGGGAACATTTTCCTCCCACCCCGCCATTCAAATCTGTTCTGAACCATAACGCTGGAAATCATTTCTTCTTCTCACTTAGACATATTTTGCAGTCTTCACTGATTCCAGTCAATCTCTGTGACATGACTCCAATCTGCCCCTCTCTATGCTCATGCCCATGGCTTGGTCACACTTGTTTTTCTTTTCTCTCTAGGGTAATTTTGCTCCACAATCTCCTCACCTCATGTCTGACCTGCTGCCAGACTATCTTCTACATTGTTGCCAGATGATTCTTCCAGAATTTAGGTGAAGAATCTTCAATGCAAAAATTGGACCCTTGACAAATACTAAGTCACTGGTGGTCCAGCTGGTAGCTGTAGAGCCCATCAGGCCCCACCTCTGAGTCCTCCTTTTGGCCAAGATGTTTAATGTGCAATTTCTAGGTGTGATAATAATTCATGTTGATTTTCTTTTTTTGAGATAGGGTTTCTCTGTGTAGCCCTGGCTGTGCTGGAACTTGCTCTGTGGTCCAGGCTGGCCTCAGACTCAGAGATCTACCTGCCTCAGCCTTCAGAGTGCTGGGATTAAAGGTGTTCACCACCACCACATAGTGATTCGGCTCCCTCTTTCTAGGCTATCTTCCTCTACTTACTTCAGGCAGAGCAGCTTGGGTTCACTCCTCTAAATTCTGCAGGTGAGATCAGGAGTTGTCTCTCATTGCTTCAGTACCACCACAGAGGGATTTTTCTACCAATGTTTAATAAGTGAATGACTCAGACAAGCTGTTCCGCATGCCTGGTACTCTGTGGCCACTAACCCTTGGGTAAGCTTTGCCAGCCTTAACGTGTGTATCTGTGCCAATGACACAGCTGGAAAACCAAATGCTGAGCTATTTAGGCCACTTCATCCTTTTTGCTCTGTGACCTTGGGGATGTCATATATTATCTGGGTACCCTCATTCCTCATCTGAAACGAGGGCTAATAAAAAGGAGAGATTAAGATGGATTAATTAAATCAGTATTTATTGAACCAGATACTGTCCTAAGCACTATTAAATAAATCAACTGGAGTGATATACACCATATTCCCAGGAGACAGGTTTTACTGTCTCTATGGGAGTGGAAACTACAGCATCTGGAGAAACCGCTCAGCAGTTTAGAGCACTTGTTGCTCTTACAGAGGCTCTGGGCTCAATTCCTAGCACTCACATGGCAGCTCACACTCATCCATAAGCCCAGGTCCCAGGGATCCAATGCCCTCTTCTGATCTCAGAGGGCACCAGGCTCAGGAGAGGCACACAGACATACATGCTGGCAAAACACTCATAACCCATAAAATAAATTAATCCACTTGGAGTGGAAACTACAAGTGAAGCAACAAGTTAGCCAAGGTCACAAAACTGGAAGGTTTGGGGTAAATGGTTATGTTGACCTTAAAAAGAAAAGAAAAAAAAAAGTATCTAAGCCTGCACTGAGCATTTCCCAGCCTTAGAGCATCAAAGAACGTCTTCAAATTTTGCAACAAACTAGCATTTGGTGAACACCACTTCTGATCTGCAGATGTCTATTGCTTGCTGGGTTATAACTGCTCTCCACTCCACTTTCTATCTGCATCTTTGTCCATTCTGACACAGGGTTTCTCTATGTAGCCTTAGCTGTCCTGGAACTTGCTCTGTAGATCAAACTGGCCTTGAACTCAGAGATCTGCCTACCTCTGCTTCCCAAATGCTGGAATTAAAGGCATGTGCCACAACTACCCAATGCTCTAAAATCACTTCTACAATTGTCATATCTTGCTAGATCTGAGTTCAGAAGGAATGGGCATTACCATTTTTGTTTGTTTTGTTTTATTTTCTTTGTTGTTTTTTGGTTTTTCAAGACAGGGTTTCTGTGTGTACCAAGCTCTGGCTGTTCTGAAACTTACTTTACAAACCAGGCTGGCCTTGAACTCAACAGAGATTCACCTGCCTCTGCTTCTCAAGTGCTGGGGATTAAAGGCTACACTCAGCTGGAGCCTTCCTATTTTCAACTTGAAAAAAGAAATGAGGCTCAAAGTGGCTCATCTAGTTATAACGCATCTCTCATCATCAGGAGGTCACCATCAGCATCTGGCATGCCCCTGGAGACAGGCAGACATATTTTTTCTAATTGCCTGGGAGGTAGAGAAGTTGCCTAGTTGAAGCAGAACTGTGAACATGTCAGGAAGTCCTGGGTTCTGCTCCTGATTCTTCTGACTGCAGAACTACTGTAGCTGAAGAAGGTGGAATGGGGCTCTAGGCCAGGAAGAGGAGGTTTGTTTTAAGATCTGATTGAGCAGATGAGGGAAATGAAGAGCTACTCAAGGGCAAGAACTTATCTTACTTTTATGCCCCTCCTGCCAAGTTTATCCCAGGGACATACCTGGTACTCAGCAACTGCCTGTTGGTTTGTTGAGGGCATTTGGGAGGAGGAAGGAGTAGGAACTTGAGGACAACAGAGACAACAGAGATCAGGAGAGAGACTCCAGACATGTGACCCTGGTTCCCTTACTTGGCCTTAGGAGATCCTCCAGAGGAGCGGGGGTGCTGTGGCTTTAAATGATTTCCGCACTGTCAGTGAAGCTGCTGTTCTGAAAGAGTTATCCTCTTGCTCCTGTGCTGGGCCTCCCCCTCCTCTCAGCTCCCCAAACCCTTCTCAGCCACTGTGATGGGATAATTAGATGCGAGAGCTCAGCACAGATGATGCTCCAGTTGCTTAGCAACTAATGGTTTCCATGGAGACCGCAAAGCACAGCCTCTAGAGCAGCCAGTGAGCAGCTCGGCAGGGCAGGGAGAAGACTCAACTCTGCTCCTCCAGAAACCTGGGGAGGGTTAGGGTGGGGAAGGTGAGAGGGGGAGATGGGAGAGAGATGGGAGGGCTTAAAGGCACAGAACCCTCATATTCCTTTAAAATGGGACCAGAGATATGCCCTTTCCTATCTTACTTTGTCTCACTCCTAATTTCAAATGGGGCTTAAGAATGGACCAGTACAATCTGCTCTGCCTTAAACCCATCCTCTCCCTGATTCCTCCTTATCCCGAATGGGAGGAGATAACTCCCAACCCTGCTATGTTGAGGTTTTGAGACACACCAGGAAGATCTCCTGACCCTCATTTCCCACAGTTAGCCCTTGCCCCCGCTTCAAGTTCTCCCTTGTGTGTGGCTCTTCTTTCGGTGTGCAGAGTGAGGATAAGATCTCATCTAAAGGGGACAAAAGCCAAGGAGCAGGAAATACAGAAATCAGTTCTCCTCCCAAAGGTAGCCTGGCAACATGAGAAAAACCCCTGTCCTGCTTCCCATTAGGGGTGTGTGTGAGTGTGTGTGTGCGCGCGCGCGCACGCGAGCGTGTGTGAGTGCCTTAAAAACACCATTTTAGGAAACAGCTCAACAGGTAAAGGCTCTTGCTGCCAAGCTGGATGATCAGAGTTGATACCCAGAAACCACACTGTGAAAGGAGAGAACCAACTCCCACAGGTTGTCCTCTGCCCTCCATGTATGCTCTGTGCCACGTTAGGGCATGCATACACAAGATAATACACATAATTTAAAAATAAAGAAGTGTAGTTTCAAGCTTTACCCCAGACCCTCTGAATCAGAAGCTTGCTTGAACTGATGCCACGATAGCCCATTCATTGCACAGTAACTTTGGAGACACTCTGGTATTAGCTCTGCTGCTCTCTGCCTAAGCCCCCAGGCTCTGTCTGTACGTTCCTTCTCACATCCCAGGCTTTAAACCCACCCACCATGGGGGAAGACATAACCCTCAGCCCTTCACTAGTCCCCACCAGGAGTGACCCTTTCTCTGGGACTGAGGAATGTAGGTGGTCCCTGGAGCAGACACTAAGGGTACAGAGCTCAGGCCCTGTAGAGTACCCCAATCTGAAAAATCACACCCCCCCTCTGACCATTTTCTGGTGACAACCTGAGTCTCAGGTTCCACTTCTACGAAAGGCAATGCCACTCATGCCGTTGGTCAAGAGAGTGAGGGCATTCAGAGCCTCTCACTACTCAGTGTTCAGAGTAGGGGTGTCTAAACCCATGTCAGTCTCCCTCTGGTTGAAAAAACTTCCTTTACTTCTTTTATTTAGCCTGGGGTGAGGGACACTATTAATAGTGTTCATCTTGTGGTTCCTGGGACTGAAATCCAATGCCTCATGCACATCACCATTGAGCTACATCCCAGCCCTTTCCTTCTTTTTTGTGATTATCTTGAGGGTTTTAGTTGTTTATTCCGACTGATTTTTAGTTTTTGTTTTGTTTTGTCAAGACAGAGTTTCTCTGTGTAGCCCTGGCTGTCCTGGAACTTGCTCTATAGACTAGACCGGCCTCAAACTCAAAGATCTGCCTGCCTCTGCCTCCCGAATGCTGGAATTAAAGGTGTGTACCACTAACACCCCACTTGACTTGGGTCTCACTGTGTAGCCCAGGATGGCCTGAAACTCAGGATCTTCCTGTCTGTTGTTTTCTGAGGTTTTTCTTCTTCTTTATTCTCCACCAGCCAAACAAACGCTTGTTACCTGAGTAGCCCACCATCCTTGCTGGACTGAACCAGCATCCATCTCCCTTGTTCCCACCCTCTGCAGAAATCTGAAAGCTCACACTGACACCTTCAACTTCCCCCAGAGCCACAGTGTCTTGGACCTCAGTCAGCACCAGGGATTGGAGTTCTGACTCTGCTATCCCCACCCTATTCACCCAATCTCCCTCTCTTCCATTCTTGCTAACTAAAGCTCTTTCAACCCTTGGAGTTTTCCCTGCAGACCAACTTCAGAACTCATGGCCCTCCTAGGAAGACTCCTACCTCCTTGGGGAGAAGCTGCCTCTACCATCGAGGCTGCAGACACACATAGAAGAACCTCTGCTTCACATGGGAGTTCCCGGAGGAGTCACGCTCCCTGCTTCGAGCTAACTGCCAGGACCCAGCCAGGGCATCCCCCTTTGGTCCGGAGAGCCAGTTCTCCATCCTGAAAAACCTGTCTGGAGGGGGGCCTCCCTGAGGCTACAGTGTCCAAGGGGCAAGTTGGACTGGATTCCCAGCAGCCCCTCCCACCCCAAGACAAAACCAGCCACCCTGGGTCAGGGCCTCATTGGCCTCGGGAAGCCCCAGCCTGCTCCAGGATCCAGTCAGTTCCCAGCGCAGTATGACATACACGCTGCCTGTCCAGACCTTGCCCTTGTTCCTGATTCTGCTGGCTGTCCTGGCTCCAGGGGCTGCAGGTCTGTTTGTATTTCTGGTGGGAGCAAGGAGGGTTTTGGAGCTCTAGACAGGGAACATTGTCTCTTCCCCAGGGCTCTCAAAGAATGTGTTGGTCTATCTGGCAGGGGTTGAGGGCTAGTGATGGTAGTGACCCAGGAGTAGAGAAGTGTGGGAAGGGTCCAAGGTTTGTGTGGGTGGGGTGAGGTGAGGTTGGGAACTGACTGGCTGTTACAGTCTAGACTGTCTCCCTGGTAGCTCAGAGTAGCCACCATCTGAAGCTCAAGCCTGCCATCTGGTGGTCGGATTCACACCGGCCTGTCCTGACAGCGCCCTTTGCCAGATCTGAGTTGATAGTGGGGCTAACTCTTATCTGCTTTCCCCCTGACTTTCTAACAGACTTCAACATCTCAAGCCTCTCTGGTCTGTTGTCTCCGGCGCTAACAGAAAGCCTGCTAGTTGCCTTGCCCCCGTGTCACCTCACCGGAGGTAATGCCACACTGATGGTCCGGAGAGCCAACGACAGCAAAGGTCGGCTCCCCTGTACCTATTTATGCTTCCGCGTGAACCCCTCTTTCGATACCCAAGAGCTGCCTATTCTCCATGAAACTGCTAGAAAATTGACCTTGCCTTTCATTTCTATTTCCCATCAGTGGTTAAGTCAGTCTTTATGGTCCCTCCATGCCGCGGGCGCAGGGAGCTAGTGAGCGTGGTGGACAGTGGGGCTGGCTTCACCGTCACACGGCTCAGCGCCTATCAGGTGACAAACCTAACACCAGGAACTAAATACTAGTAGGTACCGGATGGACCATGTGGGAGTGGGATACAGAAAGAGAAGCTGGGGGATGCTGGCAAGCATGGAGAAGAGGGCACAGCTAAAGGATGTGAAATGTAAGCCTCGGTCCCAGGAGGGCACAGCTAGGGGCATAGCTATGAAGGTGAGGACCCCTCCTCCCAAGTGCCAGATACATCCTGGGGATCTCTGCTTTCTCCCAACTCCCACCTCTAAAGCATTTCCTACCGAGTGCAGAAGGGGACATCCACCGAGTCCAGTCCGGAGACCCCAATGTCCACGCTTCCTCGTAAGTAAAATGCCTACCTCTCTCACACCTCAAATGTCCACACACCTCCTTGAGCTCCGGGCTTTATCCCCTAGAACAAGTTAACTAAATTGTTTTCAGAAGGCTCTCTCTCCCCTGATTAATGCTTGCTATGGCCACCTCCTGTTCACTCTCTGTTGAACTAAAGGCTCCGTGTGTGGAGGAATGGTGTTCTAGTATATCTCCTTGGTGACTCCCACGTGTTGCTGCAAGATGTCCATAATTGTTGAAGTGCTGGCTGGTTGGATGGCCAGGCTAAGCTGTGAGCCCTGGTGTGGAAAGGGGCCCCTCCAATCCACAAAGGGTTTCTTCTTCTGACAGGAAGGAACATGGAGTCTATCGGCTTAGGAATGGCCAGGACGGGAGGCATGGTGGTGATCACAGTGTTGCTGTCTGTTGCCATGTTCCTGTTGGTCGTGGGCCTTATCGTTGCCCTGGCACTGGGTGCCCGAAAATGAGGAGGGCTCTTCTCCATCACAGGCTCCTCCAAGAAGTCCAGTCTGCTTTCTCCCAGGATTCAGTCACTGTTTTGTTTCTGTTTTTTTTCAGTGCCTCTCTTCCCGTTCCTTGACTACTTCCACTAAGTCATTTCCTAGCAGGTTCTCTCTCCCTGCTATGTCTCACCTTCCAATACTCCCTGCTGTCTTCATTGCAGTCCCGTGGGAGCTGATTTTCCTTTTCCGTGTACTTAACTCTCACAATAAAGGCTGGCCCACGTCTGTATGAGTTCCCCTCACGCACATGTTATGGCATCAATGTCAGTGACAGATGTATGTCATTCTCTCTAGCCCCAAGTCCCAGGATGACTTTCCCAGGAGGGAGGCAACCAGGGGCAAGGGCAACGACAGCTGAGAGACAGCTCCAAGCCCCAGACCTGGGGTATAAGTTTTACATTCTGCTCTCAGCCAGTCTCAGCCAGTCACCCAAGCAGGACTCTGGGTTGGGCTGTGGGTAGAAGTGGGATCACCACATGGGGACTTGGTATGGAAGCTGACAGAGCTGGGAGAAGTACTGGAGAAGACGGTAGGCACTGAAGCAAGGGTAAAGAGCCTTCCAAACAGCGCAAATAGTGTGTGTGTGTTGTGCATATACCATGTTGAATGTGTTGAGGATAACTTTTGGGGAGTCTATTCACTCCTTCCACATGTGTTCAAGGGTTTTAGGCTTTCAAATACACACACATACACTTTTACCCACTGAGACACCTCCCTGGCCTACCCTCATTCATTTTTGTCCTCTCCAGTATGTATTTCTGATGAGAGCTAGTGATCTTTACGTTGCTTGTAAGGTGAAAACCCTGGGCCGTAAGGTGATCTTAGGGCCAGATCTAAATCACATAGCACATAACCCTCATAACTCTTACCACCATACCTCAGTAGCTTGTTTTCTTTCTTACCACAAGGCCTTTGCACAGAGGGTTCCATGTTGTGCCTACCCCCAGGCCCTTATTACTCCTGTTTTCACAGTTCACTGTCCCTTTTCCGGGGACGGAACGTTCCTGACTTTCATTGACCTCCCCCATCCCTGCCCTCCTGTCTCACAGTGCTGCCATGGTTCACAGTTGTGTGTGTGTGTGTGTGTGATTAGTCAGCTGTCTCCTTCGGACTGCAAAGTCCCCGAGAGCAGCTGCTTTGGTTAGGGGCCTGCAATACCGTGCTCTACAGTGCCTATGACACAGCAGGTGCTCAGTAGATACTTGTTGATCTCAACTCTTGGGAGGTTGCTGAAGATCGCCCTCATTCAAGGCCAGCCTAAGCTATATGGTGAATCCCAGAACAACCTGGGCTACAGAGAAAGACCCAATCTCAAAAACAAAGGGGAGTGAGACAGCTCAGCAGGTAAAAACCTTGCCAGGCAAATCACAAGAACCAAAGTTCAATCCTCAGTATCCACATAAAGGTCCAAGGAAAAAACCTGAACCCACAAAGATGTCCTCAAACCTCCAACATACACTGTGACACAAGAGCCTCGCCCCATCACGCATGGACACACACACATACTAAAAAAACTTTTTTACAAAAGTTAAAAACAGGCTGGAGAAATCGGGCAGTGATGGTGCATGCCTTTAATCCTAGCACGGGGGGGGGGGGGGGGGGGGGCAGAGGCAGAGAGATCTCTGTCAGCCCTTGCTGCTCTTACAGAGGACCCAGGTTTGGTTCCCAGCACCAACAGGGCTGTAACTCCAGTTACAGGAGATCCATGGACTTTTGGCCACCAGAAACATCTGAGCTTATGTCGTTTGTAATAGATGTGGGAGGGTCTAACCCCTTGTGGGTGGTGCCATCTCTGGGCTGGTGATCCCAGGTTCTATAAGAGCACAGGCTGAGAAACACTGAGGAGTAGTAGCCCAGCTGCATGGCCTCTTCATCTGCTCTGGCCTCCAGGTTTTTGGCTGCTTTGAGTTCCTTCTGTGGCTTCCCTCAATACTCCAGATATGAAAGCTAAATAAACCCTTTCCTCCCTAAGTTGCTTTTGGTCATAATGTTTCATCATAGCAATAGTAACACTAAGTTATCTCAGATACATAGTACAATTCCAGCCTGGGCTATAGATGACTTCGTTGTAAAGAAAGAAAAAAATAGCCTGGGGAGATGGATTGGTGGGTGAGAGTATTTGTTCTGCACACATAAAGACCTGAGTTTCACTCGCACGAAAACAAACAAAACATGATCTCAGCACTTGGGAGGCAGAGCAGGCAGATATCTGTAAGTTTGAGTGAGTTCCAGGCCAGCCAGGGCTATATAGTGAGACCCTATTGCAAAAAAGAAATAAAGAGAGAGAGGGAGTGAGGGAGGGAGGGAGAGAGAGAGAGAGAGAGAGAGAGAGAGAGAGAGAGAGAGAGAGAGAAAGAGAGAAAGAAAGAAAGAAAGAAAGAAAGAAAGAAAGAAAGAAAGAGTCTGTTATGATTACATACACCTGTAGCTTCTGTGCTGGGCAGAGACAAGAGAGATCCTAGGAACTTGCTGGTCAGCCAGGCTAGACAAACATCAAGTGAAAGGTTCAGTGTGAGACCCTGTCTTACAGGAACAGGGAAGCCTTCGCTCGCAGGTGTGCGGCATATACAATCATAGTTAAATAAATAAATAAAAAGTGTGCTAAATGATGAAGATAACATAATAGGAGAGGAATGCAGAGGGAAAGTAGGGACCTTCCCTACTTTGTATGTGTTATGATAAAGCACGTGGGGGACCTTGGTGGATTCCATGGCAGGCGAGGGTGACCACGGAAGGACAAACATGCCAGCCAGCCAGACCTAAGTGAGAAGTTTTATTAGAAAGGGGTGGGAAGGGGAAAGGAAAGAGAAAAGAGGTAAAGAGATGCAGAGACAGAGAGGACAGAAGAGAAGAGGGAGATGGGAAAAATCCTGTCTGCTCCAGGGAGACAGCAGGAAAGAGCGGGAGAGCCGGAAAAAGAGCACAAGTGGGTGGGGTCTGTCTTTTAAAGGGGTCCTTTGCACCTGCGTGCAACCATGGAACCCTGGGCTGACCAGGCTGCCTGAGTGCATTCTGCCAGATGACAGGAGCGGGCCAGCATAATGCCTGAATCCTTACAGTATGGACCTGAGTTGAAGCTAGAGTCCAGGCTGGTCAAGGAGAATGTATACTGAAAAGGTGATGTTTTGGGGCCTAGACTTCTTGTATGGTAGCAAGAACACTGTACTGGCAAGCAAAACTACTGCACAAACAAGCACCATGTGCAGGGTTCTGATTCATACCAGGCTCAGAATGAAGACAATTCTCACCAAGGGATTCCACTGTGCAACCAAGTCTAGCAATGACCAACACACCTGACATGCGATTTGCCACTGTTGAGTCTGTTGTTGTTTTTCCCTCTGTAGGTTGTGGTGGTGGTGGTGACATTGGGGATGAACTCAGACAGTCTGAGCCCCATCCTCAGTTCTCGTAGTATGTGCCTTTACATTGTACTGTCACCTGGGCTGTAACCAGCCTGGCTGAGAAACCTGAGTCCCTCCTTTGTCTCTCTGACTCAAACCCAGTGTCAGGAGGAGAGAAGTCCTGGGAGTAGCCAGAAGAGGAATTTGTCTCACAGAGAAAAACTTAACTTGTCAGTCCCCCTTGCAGGAGACTGGAGCCCAGACAATGATGGACCTGTGTGTACAGAACCATACCTGACTGGGTTTCTCAGCCTCCCTCTGTATTAGATCCCTACAGATGGACTTAAACCTCCCGTTCATATTAGAATATTGGAGACAGACTTTGGGGGAGGTCCACTAGATTTCTGTCTCCTTTTCCAATGCGCCTATAATGAATAAGCCTCTTTTTTTCTGCTTTCTGACTTTTTTGAGATAGGGTTTCTCTATGTAACAGACCTGGCTGTCCTGGAACTCACTCTGTAGACCAGGATAGCCTCAAATTCACAAAGATCTGCCTGCCTCTGCTTCTCCAGTGATGAGATCACTATTAATTTAGCTTTTTAAATTGGCCCATTGAAGATGGGTAGCCAAGCCTGGCTTGTCAGGGCTGCCAGAGATCTGACCCCCAACTCTGATCTTACCACTATTCATATACAGAATTTTCCTCACCTCATATGGACAGTGAAGAGCAGAAAAAGGAGATATAGCATAGTAGCAATGGAGCCCAGGAACTCAAGGCCAGCCTGGGCACAAGAGTCTTCTTTAAAAAGGAAGGTTGTTTTCTTTTTTCTTTTGAGACAAGAGTCTCACTTTTGTAGCTCTAACTATCCTGAAACTCATTCTGTAAATTAGACTGGGTATGTACAGAGAGATCCTTGTACCTGTCTCTGTCTCTTGAGTGTTGGTATTAAAGATGTACAACACCAAGCCTAGTCCAGTAATGGGTTACAATTCACCTCAAAAAGTAAGAATCTGATCTGGGTGTGAAGGTGCACACCTTTAATCCCAGCACTCAGGAGGCAGAGGCAGGTGGATCTCTGTGAGTTTGAGGCCAGCCTGGTCTACAGAGTGAGTTCTAGAACAGCCAAGGCTACACAGAGGAACCCTGTCTGGAAAAAAAAAAAAAAAAAAGAAAGAATCTGGGCTGGAAGTTTAGCACAGTGCTACAGAACCTGCTATTAAGGCCCTGAGTTCAATCCCCCAGCACCACAATAAATAAGTTAAAAATCAGGTCAGCTGGGCAGAGGGTGGTGGGGCACGCCTTTAATCCCAGCAGTCAGGAGGCAGAGGCAGGTGGATCTCTGTGAGTTCAAGGCCAGCCTCCCATACAGATCCAATTCCAAGGCAGCCAGGGATACACTGAGAAACCTTGTCTCAAAAACAAAACAAATAAAAGTCAGGAGGTCATGCTGACTCATGTGTCATTGTTTGTTTTTATTTTTTGAGATGGAACTCAATATGTAGATACAATAGGCTGGCCTAGAACTCACAGAGATCCAATTGTCTCTGCCTCTCAAATGCTGGGACTAAAAGCATGGACCAACACAGCCCAGAGTAACTAATTTATTTAATCCCTCACTTGAGAGGCAGAGACAGGCAGATCTCTGAGTTCAGGACAGCCAAGGCTGTAGCATCCTTGCTACAATCTGTTCCACTAATCA